ATTTCAATAGTTTTATTCATTTCAAACGGGCCGGATCCGGCCCATGGGCCGTAGTTTGCCCATGGCTGGCCTAGGGACTAAAGGGTCCCAGGTTTGATTCTGGTCAAGGGCATATACCTTGGTTGCCGGCATATCCCCAGTGGGGGATGTGCAGGAAGCAGCTGATCAATGTTTCTCTCTCATTGATGTTTCTAACTCTCTATCCCTCTCCCTTCCTCTCTGTAAAAAATCAATAAAATATATTTTAAAAATAAATAAATAAATATTTTATTTCAGAGAGGAAGGGAGAGGGAGTACAAGAAATATCAATGATGAGAGAGAAGCATTGACTGGCTGCCTCCTGCACGACCCCTACTGTGGATCAAGCCCGTAACCCAGGTATGTGCCCTGACCCGAGACCGGGAATCAAACAGTAACCTCCTGTTTCATAGGTTGATGCTCAAACCCTGAGCCACACTGGTCAGCTCTTGTGGGTATTTTTAAAATACTAATTCAATTCTCTACCTGTTATAGGTCTATTCAGATTTATATTCCTTATTTTTAATATATATTTTTTTATTTTAGAGAGGAAGGGAGAGGGAGAGATAGAAACATCAAGGATGAGAGAAAATCATTGATCGGCTGCCTCCTGCATGCCCCCGCCACTGGGGATCGAGCCAGCAACCGAGCATATACCCTGACCCGAGACCGGGAATCAAACGGTGAACTTCTGGTTCGTAGATCGATCTCAATCACTAAGCCATGCCAGCAGGGCTTATATTCTTTCTTAAGTCAGTTTTGGTAGTTTGTGTCTTTCCAGAAATTTATATAATCAAAATTATCTAATTTATTGGCCTATAATCGTTCAGAGCATTCCCTCATAGTTCTTTATTTCTCTAAGGTTGCTAGTAATGTCCCTCTTTCATTCCTGATTTTAATAAGGAGTATTCTTTTTTTATTTTGGTAAAACTAAAGGCTTGCCAATTTTATCAGTTTTGTTTTGTTTTTAAAAAAAAACAAAAAAAACTTTTGCCGAAACGGTTTGGCTCAGTGGATAGAGCGTCGGCCTGTGGACTGAAAGGTCCCAGGTTCGATTCCCGTCAAGGTCATGTACCTGGGTTGCGGGCACATCCCCAGTGGGAGATGTGGAGGCGGCTGATCGATGTTTCTCTCTCATCGATGTTTCTAACTCTCTCCCTTCCTCTCTGTAAAAAATCAATAAAATATATTTAAAAAAAAAAAAACTTTTGGTTTTATTGCTTCAAGTATTTTGCTCTTGTGTCATTTAGGTGCAAGTACATTAAATATTGCTCCGGTGGAGAATTGACTTCTTTATCCCTGACAGTTTCCTTGCTCTGAAGCCTGCTCTGACTAAAATTAAATATTTATTGCTCCCTTCCCCTCCCTTTTTTCTCCCTTCCTTCCTTCTCTTCCTTCTTTTCTTTCTTCAGTCATGTCTGCTCTATTGATGACCCCATCAAAGGCATTCTTCATTTCTGATAGCATTTTTAATTTCTAGAATTTCCTTTTTATTCTCAAAACTTCCATCTCTCTGCTTATATTTCCCAACTGTTGTTGCATAGTGCGTACTTTTTCCATTAGAGCTCTAAGCTCTATTCATCAGTGATTTTAAATTCTCAGTCTGATAATTCCAACATCCCTGCCATCTATGAATGATTCTAATGCTTGCTTTGTTTCAACAGTGCTTCTTCTTTTAGCATGCCTTGTCGTTTTTGTTGCTGAGTTGGACATGATACCTGCTGGACTTGAATGACATAGCACTAATGTGGAGGGAGAGGGGAACATTCTATGGTCTTATGATTAGGTCCCAGTCTTTTAGTGATCATGGGCCCCTGAGATGGACCTTTACAACTGCTTCTCAGTCCCCACTCCATTTAGGTGAGACAGGAAGGCTAGAGGGGGCTGGAGTTGGGTATTTCCCTTACCCCATTTGGTTAGGTTCTGGTAAAACCCAGTGTGACTTGGCTCTAGCGAAACAGTTTCCTTTGAGGCCAGGCTTTTGTTCAAGAGAACAGAATTCGGGGAGTGGGCATATTTCTGAAGACTACTTTCCCCTTCCAGCTGAAAACACAAGGACACTTTTCGCTGATAGTCACTGTGAGAAGCTGGTGGGTTCCAGGAAGCAAAACTCACAAAAGTGTACCCCCAGCCTGGTCCCTAGTAATGAGTTAATTACCCTTTAAATTATTCCCAGTGGTGGTTTCCCTTCCAGTAAAGTGTGATTTTCTGTATTTGCCTCAAGTGTTCAGAGTGGGGTTTTTTGTCTTGTGACCTCAGTTACTTCACGGACTAAAGAATAGTCATGGATTTTGTTTTTCAGCTTTTTTTCTCTGTTAGGATTGGAGTTATGATTTCCAAGGTTCCTATAATGTAGAACTGGAAACCAGAAATCTCCTATTTTGTTTTTTAAGAAACTGCCAAAACATTTTCCAGACTGGTTATACCATTTATCATACCAGCAATGTGTGAGATCTAGTTTCCCCACATCCTTGTCAGCATTTGGTATTGTTGGTTTTTGTAATCTTAGCTGTTCTAACAGATGTGTAGCTATTTATCACTGGAAGCTAAATTTGTATTTCCCCAATGGCTAGCAATGTCAAACATTCTTTTCATGAGTTTATTTGCCATCCATATATCTTCTTCAGTAAAATGTCTCTGTCTTTTGCCCATTTTCTAATTGGATTGTTTGCTTTCTTTTCAACTGTTTCATTTTCAGAGTTCTTTATATATATCCTAGATATGCATCTTTTGCCAGATATGTGGCTTACAATATTTCCTCATTCTGAATATTGGCTTTTCATCCTTCCAGCAGGGTTTCTGGAAAGCAAAAGTTTTTAATTTGATGAAGTGTCCAATTTTTCAAGTTTTTCTTTTATGAACTAAAATAATAACTTTATTTTTCCTAAAAGTTTTGCCGAAACCGGTTTGGCTCAGTGGATAGAGCGTCAGCCTGCGGACTGAAAGGTCCCAGGTTCAATTCCGGTCAAGGGCATGTACCTGGGTTGCGGGCACTTCCCCAGTGGGAAATGTGCAGGAGGCAGCTGATCGATGTTTCTCTCTCATCGATGTTTCTAACTCTCTATCTCTCTCCCTTCCTCTCTGTAAAAAATCAATAAAATATATTAAAAAAAATAAATAAAATAAATAAATAAATAAAAGTTTTATGTTTAAACTAGAGGCACAGTGCACAAATTCGTGCACAGGTGGGGTCCCTCGGCCTGGCGGGCAATCGGGGCTGATCAGGGCCATCTGGCCAGGGAGGGACCGAGAGAGGGCTCCAGGGCATGTCTGACCCTCTTGCCCAGTCCTGATCAGCCAGACCCTAGCAGCAAGCTAACCTACCAGTTGGAGCATCTGCCCCCTGGTGGTCAGTGTGTGTCATAGCAACTGGTCTAGCGGTCAATCAAACGGTTGACCAATCAGTCAGACACTTAGCAAATTACACTTTTATTATACTCAAGGCCCAGTGCACGAATTCGGGTGGGGTCCAGCCGGTCTGCTCTGATCGGGGCCAATTGGGCTGGGCCAGCCAGGGGGAGGGGATGCAGAAGGTTGGCCGACCAGCCCCGCCCCCAATCAGGGTGAGGGGAGCAAACTGAAAGTGGGGCTGGCCAGGGGGAGGGGCTGCGAGTGGTTGGCTAGCCGGCCCCGCCCCCTGGTCAAACTCCCAGTCAAACTCCCGGTCAAGGAGACAATTTGCATATTAGCCTTGATTATATAGAATAGGATTTAAATCTGATGCATTTGGAGTTAGTTTTTGTACAAGAAGTGAAGCTTAAGTAGAGGTTTAGTTTTGTTTTGTTTTTGCCTATGAAACTCAATTACTCCCTCAGATAATTAAGTGTTATAAGTCATCTCTACCACAAACTATTCACTAGGTAATCAGCTTGCTTTGCTTTTTGCTAACACTAACCCACTGAAAACAGGGATTTTTGTTGTTATTATTAATCCTCACCTGAGGATATTTTTCCATTGCTTTTTAGAGAGACTGGAAGGGAGAGAAGGAGAGTGGAGAGAGAGAAACATCGATGTGAGGGGGACACATTGATTGGTTGCCTCCTGCACACACCCCATCCAGGGCTGGGGATCGAACCTGCAACCCAGGTACATACCCTTGACCAGTAATTGAACCCACAACCCTTCAGTGTGCAGGCTGACACTAACCATTGAGCCACATCGACCAAGGCAGAAATGGGGATTTTTATTGGGGAAGAGGTGGGTGGATTTGAAATTTTTTTGGCAATTATGTAGGGAAACAAGGCTAACAAAAAGAAAACTGAGTACAAAAAAAACCCTAACTTTCCTCAATTCTACCCTTTGCCTAGTGTTTAGATCATAGCAAATGCTGACCCTGGCCAGGTAGCTCAGTTAGTTAGAGCATTTTCCCAACATGCCAAGGTTGTGGGTACAATCCCCATTCAGGGCACATACCAGAAGCAACTAATGAATGCATAAATAATTGGAACAACAAATCCATGTTTTTCTGTCTTTCTCCCTCTCTCCTGTCCCGCCCTCCCCCCCCATCAATAAAAAATAAAATTAAAATAAAGTAGATCATAGCAAACACCAAGTTAAAAAAAACTATAATAATTTGCATGTAATCATGTTAAGGCATACCTTATATCAGTGTTTCTCAAACTATAGTCATCTGTGGATTATCTGAACAAATTTGCCATACTGCATATAATATGCAATACTTCATGACTTCTGCTTTAACCAGGAACAATATAATTGTATTAACACGTATTGATGGTATCAGTACAATCATTAAGTGATGCTTGGGAGACTGATTAAGCACACCATGTAAGGTACTAGAAATAAAAACAAGATTCTTATCAATATTACTTTCCTACATAGGTTTAACATATGGTATTACTATGAGAATTTAGATCCAGACCTACTGTTCTCATAAGGAATAAAATTGAAGTATCAAAATATTGCCCCAGTGACTGGTGGAAAAGAAATATGGGTATGTATTAGGTAGTGGAAAAAAATGAGAGTTTTTAAGTAGCAATGTTCACATTTTTATTGAGTGCTATAAAATATACGTTTGCAAATGGCAGAGTTGGGAAGCAAAAACTTGAACCTGATTTTTTAATCATAATTATCTGTAACTGAATTACTCACAACCAGGCTTCTGCAGATCTGGAATTTTCTTTCCACCAGATAGGAGTAGGTAGTGCAAATTCAGTTGATAACATTAAAAAAAAAAAAAAAAAAGACTCAGCATAGTCAAGCTGTCTTAGTCTTCAGGATTTCTGGATTTCGTCCTTGGAGGAGGTCAGGATCTTCCCAAGGCCTGGGTCCTCGAATATTCTTCCAGTCATCAAAAGCAGAATCCTTTATTTTCTACGGAGCCACAAAAATTAAAGTATATAAGAGTCCTATGGCTTTGATTAGGACATCACTGAATGAATGAATGAATGAATGAATGATGAATGATGAATGAATAAATAAGTGAATGGAAAGAATCCAATAGGCCCTCAATTATAATGTTAGCAACAATAACAAAAAAACATTGCATATCAAGCATAATAACTAAAGAAGTAACATATTTCTTAGGAGTTGGAATTTTTCTTACTTGCTATTTACGTAAATGCCTATCTTTTCCTCCATCAGAATAAATTATTCTATTAAATTGAAAAAGAAAGAATGCACATACTTTATTTTTGAAAGCACAGAGAAAGGGAAGAAGCTAGGAAAACAAAAGTCTGACTGTGAAGGCTGGTCCAGCATAATAATGACTAGCACGGGTTAGCCTGAGTGATAGTAGTAATGAGAGAAAAAGAACAAAGGTGGAGAACCTGAAGTCTGCTGGAAGGAAAAAAACAGACCAAGATGATTTGTCCGGCACCTGAGAAATGAGCATGGGTTTAAGAATGAAAAGACATTCTTATAGCTGCCATGAGCAAAGCTCTTTCAGGTAATAAAAACTAGTCAACTACAGTTGGATCACTGTACCTTCAGTTACTGTGAAGTGTCTCCCAGGAATAAAGGTAGGATAAAAGGGAAGAACATGAGTGTTTTTTTCACCTTCCTGCAGTAACTTTCATTCATCTGCTTTCATTGTTCTGGAATAATTTAGTGAATTAAATAGAAAAAGAGGCTCAAAGAACACAGAACACCTTATGTCCAGAGACAAGGAATAATATGCATTTACCTTGACAATTGAATTCTAAGCTTTATTCTTTTACTAATGAGCTGTATAACCTTGGGCTATCTAGACACTAATTCCCTCATAAGTAATAATAAAAAGGTTGGACCAAATGATCTACATGGTTTCTTCAATTATCAAATTCTACGGTTTCTAAAAGAACTAAAATCTACTCCGAGACAAACCCTCCACAGCATCACTACTGACTTAGTGCTTATATATTGAGAAGTAGCAAGTTAGAGGTTTTAACAAAATAAGAGGGAAGTAGTGAATGAAATCATTCTCTAAATTTCACTTATGGTTTCATCAGGAGTTTATATTAAATATAGATAGATAGATAGATAGATAGATAGATAGATAGATGATAGATAAGCAAACTTTTATTAATTTAATGTGCAAGAAAAAAGTAAATTTTCAAGTATAGTTATAAAATGATCCATTTATAAAAAGGTTTTAAGAAAGGATAATGGTTTTCACCCAGATAACATGAAACACACATGCTCAAGATAATTTAAGAATAATTCTTAGATGGGATGCAAAGTTGACAGAACAACTTCATGTAAAAGTGCTCTAGTCTTCAGAGATCTTTGGAGAATAAAAGATTTCCTATAGGATTCTGCAATACCACAGCATTACTGATTCTGCAAAACACGCAGGCACTGAAGTCTAGGCTGTACATGTCTGAGCAAGATCACCTAAGGCTCACTAGTTAACAGCCACGTGCTATAGAACTGACTGGGGACCAGAGTCAAGAAGTGCTGAGGAAACGCTGTGTCAATATTGGATTTTCAGCCCTGTCCAAGTGGACTTAATACCTAGTTGCTACCTTGACATCCAGTTGAGACCCCCAAAAGGCTGCTCTTTAGGAGTAAGAATTATGCCAAGAGGAAAACCTACTTTAGACTCACCCAACAAAGCCTGAAACTAAGTAAGCTCTGACCTTCGGGGAGACAATTTGGAGAATGAGACCTACAAAGACGAGTTTAGGAAACACCAAAGCTTTTCCACAGTTTCTCCCTTACAAAGCATAAACTAAGTTCAAAATGATCAGCCAATAATTAAACTGCCTGCTACAAATTTCTTCAATGTATTATTCACAATGTCCACCTTTCAATAAACAATGTCCAAACACACAAAGAAATGGAAAAATACAGGGGTGGACAAAAGTAGGTTTATATAGTACAGATAAATAGTACAATAATACATAAATAATATTAGAAGAATAAACTGTGTTTCACATACTTGCAACTGCAAACCTATTTTTGCCTACCCTTGTATAATCCAGCCAAAAAAATGAACAAACTAAAAGAGATAGAGAACATCCTCCCTCACATTCTATAATACAATGTGTTACTTATTAAATTCTTTGATTTTTGCTAATAAAATGGGTAGAAAGTGATGCCTCATTATAATTTTAACTAACATTCCTATTATAAGTTGAGCACCTCTTCATATATTTAAGAAATATATTTATTTCCCTTCCTCTGAATCTATTTTTTTATATATTTTTATTGATTTCAGAAAGGAAAGGAGAGGGATAAAGATAGAAATATCAATGATTACAGAGAATCCTTGATCGGCTGCCTCCTGCACACTCCCTACTGGGGATCAAGCCCACAAGCCAGGCAGATGTCCTGACCGGGAATAGAACCGCTGACCTCCTGGTTCATAGGCTGACACTCAACCACTGAGCAACACCGGCCAGGCTCCTCTGAACTCTTTACATGCTTTGCCCATGTTCCCACTGACCAACTGAATGGCTGAACTTTTCCACATTGACCTGCAGATGTTCTTCATATTTCAATAAGTTAATTCATCATAGGATAAATAATATTTTTAGGATTTCTCACTTAACTAGTGACTTTATATACATTATTTGTTTTTAGGCTGAAGTTTTAAATTTTTAAGTATGAACTAACTCATCATCTTTGCTTTTAAAGCTTCTGGGTTTGGTATCACATTATTTTAAATAGGCTTTTCTGATTCAAGACCACAAAAAAGAATATTCATTTTTTTCCTCCTAGTACCTTTAGCATTTTGTTCTTTTATTATTTTTCTGTTAATCCTCACCTAAAGATATTTTTTCCATTGATTTTTAGAGAGAATGGAAGGGAGGGAGGAAAGGAAAGAGAGAGAGAAACATGGATGTGAGAGAGAGACATCAATTGGTTGCCTTCTGCACGCACCCTGACAGGAGCGGGGGATCGAACCTGCAACCCAGGTACATAGCCTTAACCGGGAATCAAACCCATGACCTTCAGTGCTTGGCCAAAACTCTAACCACTGAGTAACACCACCCAGGGCTTATTTTTAAATACTTGATCCATCTAAAATTTATTCATTTATAGTATATGAAATATAGATCCATCTTTGTTTTCTTTTCAAATGACTACACAGTTGTCCCAATACCATATACTTAAGATAAAAAATTTTTTCCTGGCTGATTGGCTCAGTGGTTGAGCATCGGCCTATGAACCAGGAGGTCACAGTTGGATTGCCGTCAGGGCACATCCCTGGCTTGTGAGCTTGATCCCCAGTGGGGGCCATGCAGGAGCAACCTATCAATGATTCTGTCTCATGACTAATGTTTCTATCTCTCTCTCCCTCTCCTTTCCTCTCTGAAATCAATAAAAATAAATTTTTTTAAAAAGATAAACAATTTTTTCTGCACTGCTAATAATTTAAGTTTACCTTAAGGCAGACAGAACCAGTCACTAACAAAGAAGATTATTAAAGAAAGACTATATTAACACTGTACCTCATACTCTGATTCCAGTGACACTTGATTCATTTTCAGTTTTTTTTCTAATTCAGGATCAATCTGTAAAAAAGAAAGACGAGCCATATGTTAAGTCTATAGAATTAATTTTTAATTTGAAGTTATATAAGGGACGTCTAGGATGGCATGGCAGATTACAAACACATGGCAAAATCTCCACCATCCATCCATCCAGTCGCATAACAGTAACGATGTAGTAGTACCACTACCACTACTAACAGCAGCTAATACTTACTGAGTACTTGTTATGTGCCAAGCATTTTGGCACATACAATATTATCTCTTTTAATCCTCACAAAAACCTTAGATAAGTATTATTGTTATGATCACAAGTAAGGATAATAGGACACAGGGAGTTTGAATAATTTGTCAGAGGCAGAACTTGACTCTGAACCTTGGCCCTCTGCCTCCAGAGGTCCATGCTATTAACCACCACCCTAAATTATTACTTAGAAATGTTATAAAAATACTAATAAATAGAATGCTGCTCTTAAAAACAAAACAGAACACCTTACATGTGCTGTAAACAAATAAGTATCTGTGAAAAAATTAGACAGGATTCCACAGTAGTAAATAGGAGTTGATGCCATATTACCTGTGTATGGCAAAATCTTTGGGATAGCTGAATGTTACTGAACACAGCTTAAGATCAATTAGTACTAGAAATACAACCTGAGGATTACACTAGACTTCGAAGAATTTAATTATTTCCCCATCACAGCAGGATCGAAATCAGCCATTCAAAGCAATTTAAACACAGAACCAGGAAGAAACTTTAGTAGTTTGGGGGGCCCATGGGTTTACCACTTCTTCAATGGCAAGACTCAAATGGCTTGTCAGTTGACTAAAATATTCCATCCTGTGAGGACAGGCTTGGTAGGATGAGGGTTTCTGGAAGCATACAGAGGTTTAGTCTAGTCATCAAGGGTTGTGTTCCCATATGTTTTTTAAAATATATTTTTATTATTGATTTCAGAGAGGAAGGGAGAGGGAGCGATAGAAGCATCAGTGATGAGAGAGAATCATTGAGCGGTTGCCTCCTGGGGATCAAATCCGCAACCCAGGCATGTGTTCTGACCAGGAATAGAACCGTGACCTCCTGGTTCATAGGTCAACGCTCAACCATTGAGCCATGCTAGCCCAGCTAGCTTTCTTTTTCAGTGATGTCTGGATCATACTGGCATTGGTTATTATTATTTTTCTCATTTCCATTATCTGAATCTTAGAAAACCTGGTCACAGTATTTATAATGTTAAAAATTAAACTAGCACTTTTTTCTTACAAAGTACAACAAACAAAGCCAAAAAAAAAAAAAAAAAGAGACTGGTAATGCTCAGGATTACAACACACTCAGCTGCACACTTATATCATATTACTTGGCGTGATGCAACAATGGATGATCTATTATTGTGAATCCATGCTTGTCAGCATTAGGAGTCAGGAGATAAAAGAGCAATGGCCACTAAGGAAGGCAGATAAACTATGTCATATCTATTTCACAATAAAAACTGACAGCTATTGCTTTCAGCTTATTTTCTTAGCCCATCTCACGGTTTATATTTTTTCTTTTCCAATTAACCATTTGCCTGCCATAAGCGTCTATAGACCAACTTTAAAATCATTTTTCGTGAAAATTTTCAACTGAAAATATTCAAGACCACCCAAATTGTAATATATTTATTTTTATAATATTCATTGCAAATTGATTTTTTTTAATTAAATTCAAAATATCATGGTGTGTGGGAATGGTTTCCGTTTTGGACATGTCGCAGTTAACTGGTTAAAACAATTTCTTTTTAATTATAGTTTACACACCTATTGGTTTCTGCTTTACAACACAGTGATTCCAACATTATATACCTTTCAAAGTGATCACCGCAATAAGTCTAGTAACTATCTGTCACCATACATAGTTACTACGATGTTATGATCTCATGGCTAGATGGGCCAAGACATTCTGAAGTTGTAGAAAACTCTGTTCCCTGTGCTGTACATCACATCCGGGTGTCCTCTCATTGCTTCTTTTCTTCCCTTTCAACCTTCTATACACACATCACTGAAAAGCAGGAACTTTTATGTCCTGGGATGCTGGACTTTCAGTCCTAAAATCAGGACAGTTCCAGGCAAACTAACATGGCTGATTACCCTGAAGCAATACCATCTTTATCTATCCATCCCCAATTTCTCTACTGAACTTATCCTCTCTTGCTTCATCTCAACCACATATGTCCTCTCAACCCCACTTTTTACCCCCCTTGACTTTAACCTCAGCAAACTCGCCCTCTTGACTCCCCCTTGATCTCAACCCTTGTAGCACCTGTCAATCTCAACCAATCTTATCCTCTCAAATTTAGTCCACCTCATCCTCTCTACCCTGTTTGAACACAACCTCACCCAAACTATGACTCCTGACTTCACCTCAGTTTAACTTCTCAACATCAACCTCTCAATCTCAGTAGGTCTTGCCCTCTGATCCTTCTCACCTGAACTCTGTCCTCTCCCCCTCCTTCCAGACCTTGACCAACCGTACTTCCCATCCTGTTCTCTTGTTGTTCTCTTAACTTCAACCAACCTTTTTCTCTCAACTGTACCTAACTTTGTTCTCTTTACTTTAACCTTATCTTCTAGACCCCATTATCCCAATCTCCCTCATTCTCTTTCCTTAACTAAGTGATTACCACCGCCATTTATCCAATCCTCATAACCAAAACCTCAAGTCATCTGAGATTTATTGATATTTTTATATTATGTACATCAATCACATCAGTCACTAAATACTATCAATTTGTTGCTAAACTTTTTTCTGGAACCCGTTTATATCTCTCTATCTTCACTGCACATGTTTTATTTCAGGTTCCATTACTGTTCATCTATACTACTGCCAAAGCAACTTCACCTCCGGTTGAAATAATCTCTTCCCTCCATCTTGCTCCCCCAAACACCATCATCCATCCTGTCCTCTTCTTACAGGAGAGATATTTCTAAGATGAAAATCTGACCATATGCCTAATACTCCCTCCCCTCTGTGTTATAGAACAATAATCATTTCCACCATTTAGCTCTTACTCATTCTCAAAACTTTAATTCAAAGGTTGATACCTCTAGGAAACCTTCTTGAATACCCTTCACAAGTCTAAACTGAAGTTCTAGTAATGTTTTATGAAAAATTCTAATAGAGCATTTTTCTGAGCATATATATATATAGATAGATAGATAGATAGATAGATAGATATAGATATACACATATATATGCCTAGTATGCTAATTATCCCTCTAACCGTTCGACCAGTTGCTATGATGCGCACTGACCACCAGGGGGCAGACGCTCCAACCAGTAGGTTAGATTGCTGCTGGGGTCCGGCTGATCGGGATTGGGCGAGACAGGCCGGACATGCCCTGGAGTCCTCCCGCGGTCCCTCCCTGGCCGACCAACCGCCTGCATTCCCTCCCCAGCTGCCCGGCCCAATCACCCCGATCAAGACTGGGCCAGACAGGCTGAACACACCCTGGAGCCCCCCCACGGTCCCTCCCTGGCCCCGATCATGGACCAGTGGGGTCCCTCGGCCTGGCCTGCGCCCTCTCACAATCTGGGACCCCTCGGGGGATGTCGGTTTCAGCCTGATCCCCGCAGGCCAGGCCGAGGGACCCCACTGGTGCACAAACCCACACACCAGGCCTCTAGTTGTTATATGTTTGGGTACATATTTATATTTAGATGTCTTCCAATCTTGATTATGCTATAAGCTTTGTAAGAACCAGTTTCTTAAATCTTTATCTATAGGATCTAACACATAATAATATGACAAATATTCAATTATTTTTCAAATATGTACATGACTGCCCTAGCCAATGTTGCTAAGTGTTTATAGCGTCGGCCCAAGCACAGAAGGGCTATGGATTCAATCCCCAGCCCTGGTCAGGGCATGTTCAGGAGGCAACCACTGGATATGTCTCTCTCATATTGATGTTTCTCTCTCTCTCTCTCTCTCTCTCTCTCTCTCTCTCTCTCTCTCTCTCTCTTTCTCTCTCCCCTCTCTCTCCCTCCTTCCTCTCTCTCTAAAAAATCAATGGGGAAAAAATATATATATATCCTCAGGTGAGAATTAACAACAACAAAAAATGTACATGTCATTCCACTTCCAAAAGTCAGATTATTATAACTTTCATCTTAAAGCAAAAGGGGGGAAAAATTCCTCAATAAAATAATGGGGAATGCTAATAGAAACTTTTTAATTTAGTTGATGATAATCGCTCTATTCCCTTACAGAAACCATTGTACCATATTCTTTTAAAATGAATGTAATATTTATTCAAAACCTATTGTCTTTAAGATTAGCTAGAGTTGGTGTTTCTCTTAAACCATAAAATTAACTGAGAACATTGAATACTCTTTATTTTTGCACCCCTATTACTGAGGTCTGCTAATGAAATATATATATTACTTGGAAAAAAACCTCCAATATCAGATGTGTGTCACAAACAAAAACTACGTACTTATCAATCAACCAGAGTTCTTATGTAACACTTGGCTTAAATTTGACAGTAACTGTGTAATCACAGAGGGTGAGAATACTAGCTCTACCCCCAACAGCCACATGACCTTAAACAAGTTACTTAAGCTCTCTGAGCTTCAGTGTCCTCACCTGTAAAATAAAAACCATATACATATGAACCAATACAGTCCTTTCACAAAGGCCTACCTATAAAAAGATAGGTATAACTAACTATTTATTATGAAAAATACTTTTTTTAGTATTAGTTACTAATGATGCATAACAATATAATGTATAAAATTACTGGTATTAATATGAAATATCTAATTTATAACTAAAGTAATAAAATGGAGTGAAATTGTTGTTCCATGTTCTTTAGTCCCTTCTAAATCCTTAAAACAACTATATCAGAGCACGTTGTGGCAGAAAGCTAACAACACTGCAAATTTTCTAGTGAATGAGGAGAAAAATTAGTATATTCTTCACATTTCATGATTCATTTCCAAGTGATTATTAATATTATTTTAAAGAATAAGCAAGAGCCCAATCATTATATATCAGTCTTGAACAGCTAGATAAAACTCAGACTGCTTAGTACACTGAGTATACACATCTCCTAAACAAGTACGTACATATACACAGACACATGTCAATCCCAAATACAGTTCTTACTTTAATCTTCACAGCATCATAACGGATTTGTGAAAACTCACGAAGACCAAAAGAACCTCCAACAACCAACAACTGAAACAAAGAAAGGAAACAATTAAACAAAATAGATGGGCAGAATTCAGTCTACCCCTATAGATTATTTTTCCAGATGCTTTATGTACTGTCACTGGGAAACATTTTAGCATATTACCAAATACCAAAATCAGTACCCCATACCTGTACAGTACTTAACCTTATGGTTTAAATAATATCATCATAAGCACTATTAGTTGATCCTCACGAAAGACCTATGAACTAAAGAAAAAAATCCATGTAATAAATGACTTGTTCATTATCATAATGGATAACGCCAGGAATAAAATTCTGGCCTCGTTTCTTCAGGACCAATGGGAGAGCATTTTCTCCATCACCTTACCAAGTGACAAGAGTCCCATGAAATATGCCATACTTCTCAGTATGTGGTCAATCTCAAAAGAGCCCTCAAATTGTCCTTGCTGCTTTATCATCTCCTCCAATAACCTAATGAGCTTTAATTCCTCATCTTAAAGCTGCAAAAGTATAACAATCTGGAAAAATATTAAATTTAATCTCTACCTTTCTTTTTATATCAATACTAGTGTCCTGGTACACGGATTCGTGCACATTGAAAGGAAATTAATTAAAAGAAATATTTTAATATCACTGTTCAGCCTTTCTCTATAATAGAAGTGTCAACCAAATTCACAATCGACAATGACAGATTGAAACACACATGAGTGACTGGCGCCAGTGAGAGTTTTATATGTATCGCGCATGCGGAAGTCAACTTAGCCTTTCATATATAGAGAATAAACTTGCTTAATTAGACCTGCTTTCTGATTTAGCTAAACTTTTTCCAGCCCAGTGAAGCACCCCAACTTCTCTTCAGGTATGTCAGCAACACAGCAGTAAATATCAACACGAAGCACATTATTATCGTAGATCACGCAGGGAGAACAAAGGGTAAATATTTAACTGCAGCAGTGTTTGACTCTATTCTGTGCAGTGAGAAAACCTGAAGTCATTTTCAAGGTCCACCATTTCTTACTTCTTTTCGGTCGGGTCAAGTTTCTGAACTTTCTAAATCTCCATTTTCCGGCTAATGAAAAGAAAATAGGATTCCATCGAGTCTCCTATCTACCTACTCCAGGATTTCTGTGATGAGGATCAAATGAGATGAGGCAGGGGAAAACGCTTCACAGACATTTGGTTATAGTGTAAAATGTTTGCACCTGGCTATAAAGCAAGTCCTGTTCCTGGGCTGAAGAAACTCTGAGGCTAGTCACTAGGGACAGGAAGCTGGGTGTTGCTATGTGATGTCATTACCCGGCGCCCACAGCAACCATTTTGGACTGGACTGGGCTGGGCTGGGGGCCGCATTTTGCACCATGGGGTCTTGTCAGCATTGGCTGCGATTTGGTGGGGTGTCGCTCTGGGGTGGTGGCAGAGCCTGTGTCCTACTTGGGGGAAGCTGAGAGTTGATTTGTTGGTGCCAGGTCTGGTGTGCTGTTTATTTTTAAATGGCCAGTGCAGCCCTAACTGGTTTGGCTCAGAGGATAGAGTCAGCCTGCGGACTGAAAGGTCCCATGTTTGATTCCAGCCAAGGGCATGTACCTTGGTTGCCGGCACATCCCCAGTAGGACGTGTGCAGGAGGCAGCTAATTGATGTTTCTCTCTCATTGATGTTTCTAACTCTCTTTCCCTCTCCCTTCCTCTCTGTAAGAAATCAATAAAATATATTTAAAAAATAAATGGCCAGTGTGCATCATGGCAGCTCCTGTGTTGAGCATCTGCCCCCTAGTGGTCAGTACACATCACAGTTACTGGTCAGAGGGAAGGATGGACACTTAGCCTTTTATATATATAGATATTATTACCAACTACAGAAATACAAAAAGATATGAAACATCATGACATATAAAAAGTTATAATTTTGAAACTGGAATACCAACAAAACCCTGAGACCATGAGTTTCAAAACCCAATAAATCTGGCCACATAAAAATTTAAAACATCTATCCCGACAAATACATGAAATTAAAACAACACAGCCCTAGCCAGTTTGGCTCAGTGGATAGAGCGTCAGCCCGAGGACTGAAGGGTCCTGAGGACGGAAGGGTCCCGGGTTTGGTTTGGGTTCAGTTCTGGTCCAGTTCTGGTCAAGGGCACGTACCTGGGTTGCAGGCTCGATCCCTAGCCCTGGTCAGGGCACATGCAGGAGGCAGCCAATAGGTGTGAGTCTCTCGTATCGATGTTTCTCTCACTCTGTTTCTACCCTCCCACTCTAAAAATCAACGGAAATATATCCTCGGGCGAGGATTAACAAAAATAAAACAACGTAAGTCAAAAGACAACAAATCAGCTATACATCGGTTCTATATAACCAGTTAATATTTGCAGTGTCAATATGTGAGAATTTTTTGTAAAGCGAAATACTTTCTCTCTCTTCGTTTCAGTGTAAAGACACACGCCTGGTTTCCCTACCTCCCCGCCGCTTCCTCCTATTCGCTCCTCCCCTTCACCATCCTCACACCTTCCACCTACCCGGGACCAACACCAAGACCCTGGTGATGTCTCCCGGGTCCACGGGTTTAAACAGCCTCTGACCTAACAACCTGCAGATGTCCATTTTCAGTGGGAAATACCCCCCGACGGAAGACCTGCCTTCCTATCGGGCATCTCCACTTCCCAGTCTACCGGGTATATGCACATCAGCATTTTCTTTTAAGCCTCTTGATTTTTACCCCAACACTCTCTCTGCCCCAACCTGCCCCTGACCAACCTTTCCTGTCCCGGAGAAGGGCAACTGCTTTCATCCAATGCTCAGGCCAACTTCTTCGGAGTCACCCTTCGCTCCTCTCATTCCTTTCTCAAATCAATCCATCCTGCGTTGTCACCTCCCCTTTTCAGTGTCTCGGATCTGACCATTTCTGACGACATCCCCCCCTAACCCTGTGCTCCCGGCCACCATCCCATCCCCTCCCTCCTGGACCACGGGAGTCACCGGACCAGGTCCCGGGGTCCAGGCGGGAGCTAGAAACTCGGGCTTTGCTGAGTTCACTATAAACACACGGCGCCCTGTGCGGGCTGCGGCGATGCGGCCGGCGCCAACCTGGGAGGCGTAAGCCGGCGCACCCGGCGGCCAGGACACGGGGGTGCCCGGAACTGGGCGGTACCTGCAGTCAATCCTCCAGTTCCGGCGACCCCGTGCATCGCCGAGCTGCGGAGGCGAGGGGCGGGGGCGGTTCGGCAATCGTCCAGATTTGGATTAAAATCCGATCCTCACGTCGCTCTCTGACGCACCAGGGAAGGAAGGGGGGCGCGGGGGGCCGAGGTGCCATTACCAGTCGGAGAGGACGCGCACCGGGCTGCCTAAAGGCTCCAGCCCACCGCCAGCCCTGCCCCAGCCCAGGTCCAGGCCCCCGCCGCTCCCATCAGACTTCCCGCTGCCTCCATCCAAACTTGAGGCCCCTCCCCTTCCACCATCTCGCCCCACTTTCTCCTTCGGGACTCACCAACATGGGCACCCCGTAGCGAAGGGTCTTGTTCTTGCGCAAGGCGCGCGTTACCGCGTGTGTGAACATGACGGGACTCTCCGACCCGCGTGGACACCCGGCCAAGCAGGCCCGGCGCGGCCCCGCGGCCTCGCGAGTCTCAGGGGCTCAGCCTCCCTCCCTCCCAGACCAGGCGTCCCAGGCTCATCACCTTCCCTCGCCCTCCGGGCTGGGTCCGCCCCCGTGGGGCTTCCGCCAGACCAAAGCAATCGACTCATCGTAACAGACTCGCGGGTCCGCCAGGAAACTCGAGTGTCAGAGCTTTGGTTCCGCCCTCTGGCTTGGTATAAGCCCTATAGCAGTGGTTCTCAACCTGTGGGTCGTGACCCCTTTGGGGGGTCCAATGACCCTTTCACAGGGGTCGCCTAAGACCTTCGGAAAACACATATATAATTACATATTGTTTTTGTGATTAATCACTATGCTTTAATTATGTTCAATTTGTAACAATGAAAATACATCCTGCATATCAGATATTTACATTATGATTCATAACAGTAGCAAAATTACAGCTATGAAAATAATTTTATGGTTGGGGGGTCACCACAACATGAGGAACTGTATTAAAGGTCGCGGCATTAGGAAGGTTGAGAACCACTGCCCTATAGGGACTTAAGGATTTAAATGTTGTTTGTACTAGTGGTCAAGTGATATGGTCACCGGCACCTCCCACGTTCTGGGTCTTGACCAACGTCTTCTCAGAACACTCCCTGGGACATAGCCGCTCGATAAAATCAGCTAAAGAAAAAAAGTTGGAGATCGTTTCTAGGGCTATTTGTGGGATGAGGAGTTTACCAGCTTAATATCGATTTTTAGAAATACATAAATCGCCACAAAAGGTTAGGTTGAATGGTAATCAATATAGTGTCATGCTATCACTGAACCTTTAATGCTTTTACGGTGAAGTAGCCTGTAATCTTCATTCATGCATGACAATTCTGCAGTCATTCAAACTAGCACACCTTTTTGCAGGTCATTTGAAGGCTCCAGGAACATAAAGATGAAAATATAGGATCCCTGCCTTAAAAAGATAGCGATCTAATGGGCACTCAAATGAACATGTGTCTAACTACTGTGCTCGTTTAGGAAACCGCCCCCATGTGCCATTTGCTGGGGTGAGTCAGAGAAAGCCTCACCTACCAAGTGCGACAGTCACTCCAATTTTCTTAGCAAGGAATCTAAGGCCCTCTGTGGTATGACTAACTTTGCCCTGTCTTTTCTGCCACTTTTCCTCTTTCACTCCATACTCCAGCCTGGAGGAGCTATTATTCCCTGAGTATTCCATGAACTTCCACATCTTCAAAATGCAGCTTCAGGAACTCCAGGTTCTTGAATCCTCCCTTACTCCACAGGCAATGTAAATCATTCCTCCTTTTAACTAACATATATCGCAGTAGCTTTTAACTAACATATATCACAGAGCTATCACTCTATGGTTTTAGTATATAAAGTCATTGTTGCTCTGGATAACATATAAGTGAATGAAAATAACACAGTGGGAAGAATACTTCAGTTTGAATGTGAAACTTGGGGTTTTCTTTTGGTTTCTGGGCCAAGGAAATGAGTCAAACCTGCCCACTTCATAAGCATCACCTACACTGAGCCAAGGGAGATTTTGAAATGATCAGGACAAGGCTTATAAAAGTAAGACTGCTGATTCCTTTCCTTATCCCTGTTTCTCCCACCTTCCCTCACTCCAATCTCGCCAAGGAAGAGACACGTTGCAAACCTGGGGACTGGAGCAGTAAGAAAGGTGAGAGGACTTAACCTGAGAAGTTTGAGAGTGCTGAGAGAAAATTATGTAAATTTATAGGAGAGTCGGGAGCATTTGTAGAATAAAGGGGAAATTCAGATTGAAGGGATGGGTTATAAACAGGATTGCTATGGTTTATAAACAGGGTCTCCTTTAAGGCTGTGATTCTTTTGCACTTTATTTTGGATTGTTTGACTTATGCCTTTTGTTGTGTGTTTGTTTAATTAATCTATGTGCAGAAAAAAAACCACATAGGGCCATAGCACTTATTAGAAGATGTATTGTGATGTATGCTAAATTTGTATTAGGCATTGCTTCTCTCTTCATTCATTTCCTTTTGACATTTCAGAACTCATAAAGCATCCAAGTTAGTTATGTGTATTATTTTTCCCCTTTCCCTCAGATACTAGATGCCAAGCATGCTATTCTAAAAGTCCGGACCTTGCCTTAGCCAGTTTGCTCAGTGGGTAGAGCATCATCTGGTGGATTGAAGGGTCCTGGCTTCAATTCTGATCAAGGTTATGTACCAGTTGCAGCTTGATCCCTGGCCCTGATCTGAGCACATGTGGGAGGCAACCAACCAATCAATGTGTCTCTCTCACATCAATGTTTCTCTCTGTCTCTTCCTCTCCTTTCCACTCTCTCTAAAAATCAACGGAAGAATATCCTCAGGTGAGGATTAACAAAAAATTAAGTCTAGACCTTTTCCTACCTTTTAACTATATAAAACCATCACCATACTGGATCCAACTCCAATAAAGCCCTATACTCAGCTAGTAGCTAAATAATGGATTAAATAATGGATTAAATAAATAAAAAATAAACTCTCAGTAATGTTATAGCTAATAATCTGTTACCCTTTTCAGATGGAGCATATATTCTATTTAAGTGAATACAAGTCTTCGGCCTCTCATTTGTTCAATCATTCAAATAAACATTTTTTGAGAACTTTGAGATGGTCCTGAAGATGCAATTAAATTGTAAGAATTACAAGTATGCTGGAAGATTGTCAGGGGACAAATTTTGGGGCAGTGAGGAATTTAAGCACATATTGGACATTATTACATAGGTGGGAAATTCTATTTTCTATGCTTAGTACTCACCTTAAGCATTACCATGGAGTATCTCAGTTTCTTTTTCTGTTAAATCGAGTGACATTAGTCATCACTTTTACAATTCTCATTTTAAAAAACGCACAAAATAGCTCATCAGTATGGGCTCTATTGCCTTCTCAGAAATGTCACTCAAATCTCATCTGTATGTTTCCAGTGTTAATCAACAATCCAAATGTTGACTCAGCCATTATAACTGTCACACTTCCAAGTGGGAGGATATAAAATTTATATGTAGGAAACAAGGCATCTCTACCATCCAAGCCAGTCCCTCAGTACTGGTATGTTCTTGATATCTAGGCAAGTTGCCCTCCAGTATCTATCATCACTAACTCATGCAGGTACATGAGAGGTATCAAAATCACCAATCTTGAGAGCCTTAGCATTGAGGTCAGGTTTTAAAACTATGGCCACATGTAATGGCTATGGTATGAAAGATTAGTTTCTTCATGAGTTTTTTATGGCTCCATAATTGACATATCATATCTAACTTGATTCACTCAAAAACGTTATAATTTTTAAATTTTGTAAAATATATTTTTATTGATTTCAGAGAGAAAGGGATAGAGAGGGAGAGAGATAGAAACATCCATGATGAGGAGAATCACTGATTGGCTGCCTCCTGCATGCCCCACACTGGGAATCCAGCCCACAATCTGGGCCGTGCCCTTGATCAGAATTGAACCTGGGACCCTTCAATCCTCAAGCTGACGTTCTATCCACTGAGCCAAACCGGCTAGGGTGAAAAACCTTATAAACTTTAAAAGAGCATGATTGCAGACTCATTTTACAGGTGAGCAAATGGAGAATCAGGAAGAGTAAGAGGCTTGCACGAGGTCACACTTTGTAAAGTAGTACAAATGCCCCAACTGCTACTAAACTTCCTGCAGCATTTGACAATAGCATTGGCTCCTAGTATCTCCTTCCTGAAATTCCCTCCTCCATGGATGTTTGGCTCTCCTGGGTCTTCTCCAACGTTGAGACTTCCTTTTCTCTTCTTCAGCTTTACAGACTGAAACCTGGAGTCCTTAGCCTTTTTTCATTTTTGTTCTGCCCCAGTGACTTTCAAACTGCAGTGTGCACAGAATCACCTGGAGGGTTTATTAAAACATGGATTTCTCAGCCCTGTCCCCAAAATTTCTAATCCAGTACATCTGAAATGGGACCTGAACATTGACTTATCTAACAGGCTTCCAGGTAATGCTGCTGGAGGTGGTCTGAAGATGACAGTGTGAGAACCACTGCTCTATTTTCTTTCACGAGGTAAACTCAACTCCTACCTTGGCTTCAAATGTTATCACAGTGTGGATGAGTTCTGGTACATATCCAGTAGCCTCAATGGTTTTCGTACAACTCAAAGTCAGCATACCATGAGGATGTATTCCTTCTTTTCTCTTCCCTCACTCTCTGCCTCCCATTCTACTTTTTTTTTTTTTGCAGTTAATATTTTTTTATTAAATGATAATAACTACAGGCAGAGTTAGATTTACTTTCATTTTTCTCTGATTCCCCCCCCCCCCAACTTCCCTAAGTAATGCAGATGTTTCTCAGGTCTACAGAGGGACTCTTCACAATGCCAAACCCCTACTCCCAACCTAATATTTTTAAAAGATGCCATTGACATTGTTATCTTATATGCCACTAGGGAAAGAGAACACACCATGCAGAATGTGTGTTCTTAGGCGACCTTTCCTAAGGGAAGGGAAAAATAAATGTCACGCAGGAAGACACAGTAAGGAGACTTGTGTATTTCAATCTTGGTACTGGGTAGGGGGGAAGAAACCCCTCGTGAGATTTTCTGCTCTGAGAATTGAATAAAAAATTCTATTGCTTTATTAATTTATATCCCATAAAATCCCTGTCTTAAGTTTAGTATAAATTTTTTAATTTTTTTCTTTATTGATTAAGGTATTACATATGTGCCCTTATCCCCCTCACTACCCCCTTATCCCCCACCCATTTATGCCCTCACCCCCCACCCTGGTGTCTACATCCATTGGTTATCCTTATATGCATGCATACAAGTCCTTTGGTTGATCTTAAGTTTAGTATATTTACACAATTACGCAACCATCAGTAAAATCTAATTTGAAAACATTTTATCGCCTGAAAAAGAAATCTTGTGCCTTTTTTCCACCCCCAACCCTAGGCAACTACTAATCTAATGTCTGTCTCTATAGACATTTCATAAAAATAGAATCATAGGTGTTCCTTTGTGTCTGGTTTTCGAGGTTCATCCATGTTGTGCCCCAGTCTGTGAGGAGCCCAATCTAGTGGATTGTAAGATGAAAGGCAATGTGGAGGAGAACCAAGGCACCTAGCTAGTAGCCAGCACTAATTTCCCGACGGGGAAGAGAGGCCATCCAGGACTACCTACCCTCTGCTCTGCCGTCAGATAAATGCAGCTGCATGTGACCCCAGGTGGTATCAGGAGGAGAAACACTCAGGCAGCCCATAGAATCTTTTAAAAGTTTATTAAAATATTGTTTTAAGTGACTGAATGTTGCAGTGGCTTGTTATATAGTGAAAACTCACATATGTTCTTCGCCCATCAGGGAGAGAGAAGGTGGCCATTCTGTACACACAGCAGGTACAGATTAGCACTTGGACTCCAGGCCTGCACTTTGCTTAAGCTGTGACAGAGCCTTAATGACCAGTGTAAACTGCCTCTCCTGTTCACATCAAAGTCAGCTATAAGCAGAGTCAATATTCAGTTCTGACAAACCCTTTTTCATCCTGTGGCACAAACCCATTTCTGCCTCTGTGTATCTTTTAAGGCTTTGGGGGATGAAGGGGCCAGAAGTAAGATACTAAAGGTTGGCAACTGCCTTCAAATGTTGTATGTAAATACAGAAGGGTACAGCTACTGCTATTTTGTACGTAGTGTAGCCAAATACCTATTATCCACAATGGAAGACTGAGCTAGCATGGTTGAACCAAATTCAGTAAACTAAATTTTCATTTTCTGAAATGGTGAGAAGTGAACTTCTCATTGGCTTTAAGTAAATTCCCAGATCTGGAACTAACTAGCTATGTCTCAAGAGCAAGTTAACCTCTTTAAACCGTGAGTTACCTTATCTGTAAAGATGGGATTACTGATACTATGTTGCATAATGGGGAGATGTTTTTTTTTTACCTTAGTTATGCAAAAGAGCACCCCAGGGTAGTGCCTGACACCATGGAGACTAGGGACAGTACAGAGCCATGGTTATGTATGCAGGTTCTAGCTGTATAACCTGGGTGGATTAATCTCTCAGTGCCTCGCTCATCTCACTGTAAAATGGGAATAATGACAACAGTTGTTGTGAGGCTTAAATGAACACGTGCTCAGGATAGTAGCTGAAATACTGAAAGGAGCTCAGTGACTGTTCGCCATTAATAGTGGTACATGAGCGTGCCCCTCCTTATCTCCTTAGTCAAAGATAAGCCTCATATTGATCATTTAGAGTTTTCTTTCCTCTTTCCATTGTTTTGTCAGAGGCACTCTTAAGAAGTTGGCAAAAAGAAAAAAAATTCAATAATCTCCAAAATAAGGTGGAACAATTATAAAGATCACTGACAAATGCAACAAGTTTTTATTAGATGCCAGTCTTGAGTGAGGCACAGTTAGATACACTAGGATCTCATTTGCTCTATCTGGTATCAAATAGCAAAGCTTAGGAAATTATTATCCATTTGATGGCCTCACTAACATATTTAACTTGTAGTTATATTTCCTAGAAGTAGTTTTATGCCCATGTATCTCCCAAGATGCTATAGGGCATCTACTTGCTATTTAGATCCAGGCATGCAATGTGACACTAGGATCAAAGTAGAAAGGAAGCAAAATAAAATAAGGTTCATAAGGAAAATAATCTTACAAGAACTAATATGGCCCAGGGGTAAAATGCACAAATATCCAGTAATAAGAATTTCATATTCAAATCAGCATTGCAGATACAGAATTAAAATGGAATTGTGATTCCATTTGCCAATCTGCAAACTAAGGATTATTCAATTTTCCTGATTGGTCAATACATTTAATAATTACAGTAACTACAGAGTTCTTTTGTACATGACTCTGTTAATGATCAATTTGCATCTGAAAACATTATCCAGTCCTCTCCCTTTTCACTCAGCAAAAAGAACATGAACAGTAAGGACAACATTTAGAGAAACAAGACCTGATGTTTGGTATAACTTGATTCCTTAGACACAGCAATGCATTCTTATATGTTATTATCATCAAGTGCATCAGGTAAGAGCTTAGGTGCTTTGCAGCCCAAATATAAATATCAACATCAGGCAAGAGTTTATGGCAGTTAAGAACCTGGTTCCAATCAGAACAGAATTCCTTAAAATACTGGCTCCCTTTTGATCACAATTACCCTTTTAAATGTAAATACTGGTCTCTCAGATTTGCAGATAAAAGAGAAACAGCAAAAGGGGCTTACCCAAGATCATAATCACCTTTCAACTTATAGCTGAGAGGTAAAGAGTATCATAATTCAATATATTCTCTGCTTCTCAGTGATAATATAAAAATAATTTAACATCAACATCACCAATAAATACTCCACCACTTTCCAATAATGAAATTTTAGCTTGTATCTTCAGCACCCAGCATGCACTCATTTGCTGAAGGAAAAGAAAATCCTCATCTGTACAAAGATAAGTTTGATTAGATTTGACTAGAATAAGATCTTTATTGGCTCCACATGAAATTATATCTTAACTTGCTGTTTACACAATAAAAACGATGTCCAATGTCAAAAAAACACACTTCTCTAGCCTATTGGAATTAGTCTCAGAAGAGCTCATTTAATTGAATTTGATGTTAGGTCTTTCTCAGCTTATTCTGTGGCATCTCCCAATTATGCATGAAGCTTGCAACACACTTGTGTAGTCAGTCAGTTCCTTTGGTTTTTATTTAAGACCCAGAGAGAAGATGGAAGTGGATTGGGATTTTCTTAAAAAAAACGAAGGAGTTTTGTACATGTTCATGTAGTGGATACATTCAAGACAAAGATGAGACAGAAAGATCACTTAGGCAACAAAGCAAGTGTATGATCTGGGTTAAGTTAGCTCACCTCCCTGAGCCTTGAGGTTCTCATCTCTGAGTCAAATACATCCTAGAATCTTTCTGGTTCCTTCTGCTCCAGTGTTCTACAGTCTGGTTCTGATTTAACAGATGCACAACCTGAAACACCACATTTTGCTGGAGGTTGATCAGTCATTAGCAAATCAGAAGCCAAAGCATGTTGCACTTCTTATTCCACATCTATACTTTGGGCAGAAGCTCACGGAGAGCTGGGCTCTAAAAAGGCCCAAATGGCCCCGCCAGCGTGGCTCAGCAGTTGAGCGTTGACTCAGGAATGAAGAGGTCACCAGTTTCATTTCTAGTCGGGGCACATGCACGGGTTGTGGCCTCGATCCCTAGGAGAGGCAGTCACAATGATTCTCATCGCTGATATTTCTCTCTCTCTCTTTCTCTAAAAATCAATAAAAACATATTTTTTAAATAAAAGTAGAGGGAAAGTTGCAATATAAGCTTCTATTTTAAGAAAATAAAAAGGCCCAAGTGAAATTCTCATTTTTGGCTGGAGCCATGTCTGTATGTAACTTAAATGGTGTCTAGGTTTAAATGCCATAGAGTTTTTTGTTTCGTGGATTTTTTTGTTGTTATTTTTTGTTTTTGTTTTTTTTATTGACACTGCAACTAGAATCACCTGGTAAACTTTATTTTATGGTGCCTGGCTTCCACACCCAGAGATTCTATTGAATTGGCCTAGATACAACCCGGGCATCAGAATTCTTATAAGCTCTCCAGGTAATTCTAACCTGAGAAAATGGGTACAATTATTGGCATTCAGAAGTGATTCTTAAACTTCAGCTAAATCCATCACCTGGAGGTATTATTACAGATTGCTGGGTGCCCTACTGTTTCTGAGTCAATAGGTCTGGGTTAAGCCCAAAAATTTGCTTTTCTAGCAAGTTCTTGGGTGATGGTGATGCTTTTAACCAGACCTCAGTTTGAGAGCCACTGCCAGTGAGGAAATATCACTGATCATGGCACCTGAAGACATGAGTTTAAATCTTGATTCTGTTATTACCATCTATGCAATCTTAGGAAAGTAATTTTACTCTCTTTTCTTTAGTGTCTTTATAATAATACTTAGATCCCAGAGTTGTGAGGCATGAACAATTAGTGTTACCTATCAGGGTTTAGTACAGTACCTGGCACAAATGCAGTAACAAATATTAATCTCCCTTTTCATTACGCATGACTAGAAGGTGTGATTAATTAATAGCACAGATTAAAACTTGGCAGGAAAAGGAAATAGACAATTGAAGCAAACAATGTTTTTTTAGGATTATATGTATAAGATAGGATGATATAGAGAAGTGTTCTAAGAACATGGTCTTAATACTTTTTTAAAACTTTGAAAACAGTAGTTCAGGTAGGAATGATACAATCTATAAGGTGGCAGGAATATTCAATTCAATTCATAAAGAGCATGGATTTTTTTAAAAGATCTACAATGGATTCTGACATCTTATCTATGATAATGCAAAGCAGTGGTTCTCAACCTGTGGGTCGCGACCCCTTTGGCGGTCAAATGACCCTTTCACAGGGGTCACCTAAGACCATCCTGCATATCAGATATTTACATTACGATTCATAACAGTAGCAACATTACAGTTATGAAGTAGCAACGAAAATAATTTTATGGTTGGGTCACATGAGGACTGTATTTAAAGGGCCAGAAGGTTGAGAACCACTGTGAGAATGAAATAAAAGTATAGCACACCTGCCTAAAATGTCAATATATTGATCTTTAAATGCTATTTCAATCCAGGGAAAGCCAAAATTATTAAAATGCATCAGAATCCCTATTATCAACCAAAGCTAAACTTCTACCAGCAGTGGGATAGGTGTTCTCTTTATTTATATATACCAACAAATAAAAAAAAAGAGCTTTCCTTCCTGCTTGCCCCTTTGCTTCGTTTGGTATGTGTGTCTCAGGTCCTCCCACGAGTTAATGTGCACACCCTGAGGTGAACCCTGGGAGGCCAGCAGGCCCCTACAGAAGTGAAACGGCTACACACACTCCAGGTACAAGGAAGACCCCGAGGCTGAGCCCCCACAGTGGGCAGTTGGGGTGAGAACTGGAATACTGTCAGTGTTTCTCTGAGGAATGTACAAATGCCAAGCGTCTAGGTGACCAGTTAAGGTTTAAAGGCGTAAGTCACATCAGGATTGTTTAAAGCAAGTTTCTCCCTACAGGAACAGTTGACCCAGAGGCAAGGTCTTACTGGGATTTTTAAAAGCCTTCCCTTTCCACTCTGGCCTCATGTCATTATGCAATGGCTTTCTTTTTCTGAATACCTTAAAAAAGTGTGATGGCTGCATTGTGTTGTGCCGAGTACCATTTCTTTTATTATTGTGTTCAACTGTTACTTAACCTGATAACTAGACTGTGAGCTCCTCAAGGGTCCTTAGCTTGTCCCCTTCCTCCAGGAACGTTCTCAGTGATGGTAGCTCAGTTCTGTTCCCTTTTGCTGTATGCACTGTACATTTGACACCAAACTTACATTGCCCTGACTATGCAAATTCCCTTTTTATGTATATAGGTTTGGTTCCCAACTGGAACAAAAAAAACCTTTAGGATGGAGGCAATATGTATTTTCTTTCTTTGTAAATGTGTCTTAACAAAGCTGCTGTCCAATCAACATTTGTAAAATACTTGTTAGATCGTCTATGCCCAAAAATAGACACAACTGATTGCCCAAGGGGAAGACCTCACATTCTGTTTGTCAAGATTGTATGTATAAGGCCTACAGTCTAGCTGATATGTTTGAAAGATGGAAATGTTTTTCTTAAAGCTAGAAAATTAGTCTTGGTTCAGGTCTCCTTAATGCTTTAAAGCCACCCTTCAATTCCACTTCCACAGGACGGTTCCACCTCATTATCAACCTCAGTATTCCCCAGCATCCATTCACCTGCATCTTGCTCTCAAGGTTTCCCTATGAAAGTTCCCTCCGCCCTAAAACAAACAACTCATTTCTTCCCCTTCCCTGCAAACTGGTTCATTCATTAAAACCATAACCAGTGTTTCGTGTGTTTTTTTTGTTATTTTTTTTTCAAAAAAAAAGAAATAATAATTACAAACTAGCAATCCAAACTCTCTAAACGGAACTGAGTCAGAAGCAAAACTGGTTTCATGCCCACCCGGCCAAGAGCAGTTCCCTCGCTCAGAGTTTGCCTGTTATTAGCCCTGGGGGGCGTGTTGGCAGTCTGGGGATTCAGGCACCACCTTGGAGGCACCATCTTTTTCCTTTGTGGGGTTTTCACTGGGCCGTTTTGTCCCCGTCACTACAGCTCTGACCACAATCACTCCAGCCGACCCTTTCACAGGCTGTGAGGTATCCAAAAAGTCACTAGGTAGGCCGGAGATTGTAAGATTTCTCTCTAAACCGCAAAGGTTTTCCGACAGATTGACTTGCGCTAAGCTGGATTATGGCATTTTGCCTCAACTTCACCTTAAGTGTTATGAGAAATAAGAATTCTAAGATTTTAAACTAGTTGCTTCAGTTTTCCTTCCTTTTTCTTATGACTCAAACTGGGCATCCTGTCAGGCTCACTCTCTTACCCCCTCAATTAAGATCACCCCTTCCACCAGAAATCTAGAAACCAGAGCAGGTTTCTACCTCTTTAACTCTCCATAAGGCTTCACTATTATACTATCATTTATGCACATATGTGTATACATGTATAAATATATATATATCTATATATATCTAAATATATATATATATCTTTTAAAAAGTAAAAATGGTCTCCTCATTGTATTTTGTTTGATATAGGCACCCAAGTATGTCATTAGAAAGTAAATAAAGGCCAAAAAATTTCCCAAGGAAGATCATTAGAAAGAAAAATCCTCTCTTCCTCTTATATCGCACAGCTGGCCTTTGAGGCAAGCCAGCTAAGAAAACAGGTATCACCATGGTGACGGGAAGACTGGACTTTTCCCTCTTTGGTTGTAGCTGATTCTATTGGCGGTCCTAGTAAAACATATGACTCCTCATTTGTCCTAAGCAAGTCTTTCTTCAGCTTTCCTTCAAACAATGCCTCTACTCTCCCATCAGAATACGAGGACTTGAAGATTTTGAAGAGCCAGGTTCTGGTTGGGAAGCAGTCTCTTTAAATCATGTGTGAGCTATGCAGAGAGAGGGCAAGAGACGGGAGAATGGCAGGGGAGGAGGAGGAGAGAAAGGAAGAAATGTTCTCTTCATCAGGAGCACTGGAAGGAAGCGAGCTGTTCAAAGTTGTTGCCGGTATCGCATGAAGGCCCAGGCTGCCACCATGGTGAGGGCAAACAGTGGCACCAGCACCACAGGCATGGGAATGCCGCTCGGCTCCCCTTCACCTCGATGTCCTAGGGGCCCATTTTGCACCTGTAACTGGAAGAGAAAGAAAAATGTTAACTCTGGTGACCAGTGTGTTTCCCACAACTGAAAGGTCGGGGCTGACACATGACCTGGGTCTGTCAAAGCTGCAAGTCTAAGCACTATCTAGCAGAGAGTATATGTCAGTATCACCGACTCTTTGGAAACAAAAGAAGGCTGATGGGGAGACATTTGCCTTTTCTGTACTACTGACCTACAGGGACCCCCGGAAATAAGCCAGATAACCTCTTTCTGCTTTTGTACGGCCTCCACCAAGCTCTATGTGTCTCATCTCAGGAAGTGAAGATATGAGATGAAGTCTACTGATCCTATAGGAAACCTGAAAATTATTGGGTGGGACAGGGGGGATGTCCATCTTCCTAGAATGTTTCCTTAGAAAGATTATCAGTCATTAGAGTGCAGTAAGAGCAGAGCTGAGCAATGTTATTTAAATTATCTGTTATCTAAGCATAAATTGCACAAGGTGTAATTCCATTATTTTCAACTCAAAAGGCACCCCACTCCCTCCTAAGATGAGGTTGTGTCGTCCTTCCTCCCCTATTTTGTAACACTGGACACAGATAAAGGTGGAACCTGTACGGAATGGAGGCAAACAGAATCAGAGGTAACGAAGTGAAAAGAAATCATATCCAAGCATCAATTTAAGAGAGAATAACTTTAAAGACACATTGAACCTGTGTTGCATATGCCCCCAAAATCGTTGCTATGGGAGGAATTATGTCTACAGGCTTCTCTTCCCATCATTCACATTATAAGACACTAGGAACTAAGAAGTGGATACAGGGATAGGTGCTGTCTTGACTGAATTCTGAATTCCATTTCCGTTTTCCTGGGGCTCAGCTTTGACCACCAGAGCTTTGGTCAGGAGAGTCACCAAGTTGATAAGCAAAGTGTTCATGGAGGTGACAGGGAAAAGCACACAGTGGGTAGGTATCAGAAAGCCTACCATCTTTGTACTTAAGAGTTTTATAAACAAGAATGTCCAATGGCAGACACATGTTTTCCTTCCCCACTAAAAAATTGACTGTGGTTGTATACCCCCCCCCCCCATTCACCCCATTTATTTCAATTTGGTTGTCAAGCTTTATCTTTAAAACTAGGACGTGGGTTGCAAAAATACTGTTACAAATGTCCTTTGATGATAAGCAAAGTTCCAGAAGATACCTGCTAGACAAGCTCTTCAAAAGAGTGGGAGTGAAAGGAAAAAAATCCAAACACACCATTGAAGATTACACCACAGGGCTCATTCACAATGGCACAAAAGCCTGGGGCCAGGTGCTGGCTGCAAAGGACACACCTACCCTGTGCTGTACTCTTAGGGATACAGCGTAGCCTGCATTACGAAAGAGGTTTACAGCATCCTGGTGCAGCAGGTTCTTTAGGTCTTGACCATTTACCTGTCGAAAACAGCAAGAAAAGGTAGTAAAAGTTAGAATGTAAACTCTCTGAAGTCAAAGATTTATTTTCATGTGATCAAACATTTAAAAAACAACTCCTACAGAGCAAATTCCAAGGTTTAGGAGAATGAATAATGTCACTTAGAACTCAGTGTAACACTTTTCATTTTCAAAGCTACGTTTTCCTAAAACTGAGTTCCATGGACCATTTGAAGAGCACTTAAGTTTAAATTAAAAAGAACAAAAAACGGCAGTCTCGGCCTGGCCATTATGGCTCAGTGGTTGAGCGTCAACCTGTGAACCAGGCGATCACGATTCAATTCCTGGTCAGGCCATACATCCAGGTTGTGGGCTCAATCCCCAGCAGGGGGCATGCAGGAGGCAGCCAATCAATAATTCTCTCTCATCATTGATGTTTCCCTCTCTCTCTCTCTCTCTCTTTCTCTCTCTCTCTCTCTCTCTCTCTCTCTCTCTCTCCCTTCTTCTCTGAAATCAATAAATAAAAAATGTTAAAAAATAAATATTTTTTTAAAAAGGCAGTCTCTTTCTCCTTAGCTCCTATGGCCTATCTCATTTGGACACCTGGAATTCTTTACTGTATTTGTATGTCTTCCATGAGCATCAGTCTGACCTCCTTCAGCTAGCATGGTCTTCCAGGTTTATTTCTAATCCCTGGCATTGCCAGCTTCATCTCTAGAAATATAATTACATGAAACTCTCCCACAATTTATTTTGATGTGGTACAAAATCTCCTGGCCCATTCTATTGGTCTTGTTCTACTGTGAACAATTGCCCTTAATTCCATTGATACTCCTATCCTCCTCAAGTTTCTGTGATGATCCAAACTCCTAAAGAATATTTCATGGTAGGTCAGTCCTACCACTTAGGGGTGAGAGATGTGAAGTGCTACTGGTATTACTACTTTCAGTGTCAGGAGTGACTCTGGCCACAGTGATATCTATCCATGCTGCACTCAGTGACACAGCACAGCCTACCTTATGCAAGAGCTACATATCTTTTGTACATGCTAGTGTCATCAACAGCAACAGCAGCAAAAATACCTAATACATTTACTTGATAGGCTCTGTGCTATATGCTTTACATTATGAATTATCTAATTTAATTCTCACAGTAATCCTATGAGGTAGACACTATTTTTATCTTGTTTTTCACAGATGAAGAGAGTGAAGCCTAGCAAGGTTAGGGAATGTACCCAAAGGCATAGTAAGTGCGGAAGCCAGGGCTAGTGTGTTTAAATACCAGAAGGAAGACTGAAGTACCCTGCATTTTACTGCTCCTTCTGCACTATTCCTCTGCTCTGACTCACCAACTATTCTCTGCTCAGCTGAAGCTCAGGTCATTGACTTATTCAAACCTCTCACCTTCCTTGTCACAGTGTTCCTTCTCCAGAGGTTCAGAATAGTCCTTCCACTCTATCTCCTGCCAATATCCTTGGTGAATTCATCTACCAACAGTTTGGCCTTCCCGAATTAATAGTTTCTAGCTCTATTACATATTAGTCACCAAGTGCCATAAGCCTTGGACTTCAACACAGGGCAGTGAATTCCAATCACCAAATCTTACAGCCCCTTTTCAACCTTGAGACCGCCTCCTGTTTTGCAGTTCTCTCCTGTCTTAGTTCTTAAACTATTCCTTTCCTAATTCCTTTCTCCTTCTTTCCTTCTAAAGGCAAATATTCCTCAATGTCAGTTGTCTTTTTCCTCTTATTTTTTTCTTCCACGTGATTATTCACAATTTCAACAGTAATCTACAAGACAACTCCAAAATTTGTATCCTGCCCTGGCTGGTTTGGCTCAGTGGATAGAGCGTCAGCCTGCAGACTGAAGGGTACCAGGTTCAATTCCAGTCAAGGGCACATGCCCAGGTTGCGGGCTTGATCCCCAGCAGGGGGCGTGCAGGAGGCAGCCAAGCAATGATTCTCTCTCATCATTGATGTTTCTCTCTCTCCCTCTCCCTTCCTCTCTGAAATCAATAAAAAAATATATTTAAAAAAATTGTATCCCTACTTCTACTTCTGGATTTACCTATTTCCTGCTGGGTACCTGCACTTGGATATTCTGTCAGACCCCACTCAACGTTTCCAAAGCCTCTTTATTATTTCCCATAAAACCAGACTATCCCAACTTTGTTTTATTGCCACTGCCACCCTTTCAGACTAAATTTTTGATAATAGTTTTAAACTCTCTCCACTCTGTCAATCTTCACATACAATATATTGGCAAATCCTGTAGTTTAACATAATGACATTCCGCATATGCTATTATTTTCTGTCTGGTACCTCTCTCTTTAGACTGTGGATACTTTTAGTTGAACTACTGTAATCACCTTCTCTCTGATTTATTGTCCTCTAGGTCCTCCCCCGTACTACCCTATTCAAACACTATGTCCCCAGACCAATCTTTCTAAAGTATAATTCTGTTTATACCACTTCGTGGCTCCAAAACAAAAACAGAAGTTGAAGCAGGGGAGGAAAGCGTGCATGCCTGATTTCTCATTCTGATATGCAAAGTCCTACCTTTGGAACCTACTTTCCCAATTTAACCTCGCATTACTCCCTATCACGTATCCTAGGCGCTAGCTAAATCACGTAACTCATTACTCTGAGACAGAAAAGCATATGTTCTTACTTTCACACCTGCGCTTAAGCTGTATCTACTATCTAAATACCCTTCCTCTTAAAAAATCCTACGTATCTTCTAAGATTGATCTTAAATAGGACCAGTCCTGGTACCCATCGTGTAGAAATGAATATAAGGTTTTCTAATTGATGGACTTTGATTTCATGCTACTAAACCATATTCTGATCATATCTTTTTTTTACATATGCCACAGGGAAGAACTTCCAGAGTCTCAATGACTTAATTTTTTTTTAGTTAATTCCTGGGGAAAGACTGTTGATTGTAGTGAGAATACTCACTTAACTAATTTAGCCTGTGATAACTGTATTTCTCATTTAAAGAAACAGGTATTTATTTCCTCTCAGAGACAAATAAGTTAATGATATAGTCATGTTAACAAATGCCAGATGTCATAGTTCAGTATCAGAGCCCAATTTCATAGTAATATGACTGCAAATGAGAGAACTATATGACATTCAATGGCAAGAACACAGAGTTCATCCCTGGCTGGGTGGCTCAGTTGGTTGGAACGTTGCCTTCAACACCAAAAGCTCGCAGGTTCAATTCCTGGTCAGGGCACATACCTCGGTTGCGGATTCAATACCCAGTTGAGGCGCATATGGGAGGCAATCGATGGATGTTTCTCTCCAACAGCGATGTTTCTCTCTCTCTCTAAAAAAAATCAATAAAAACATATCTTCAGATGAGGATAAAAAACAAACAGTGAGTTCAAAATAATCTTTGCCATGCTAGTCAGTAATAATTGCCAGGACCCACAGCATATTTATCATCTCTGGAGCTGTCCAGTCATTTCACATGTACAAACTGACTCAGCTTCACAACAGCCCCATAGGTGAGGAACCCCCATGTTACTGATAAAACTAGAGAGGCTATGCAACTTGTACATGGCATGTGTAACGGGAGCAGCAAAGCCAGGATTCAAACTCAAGCTGCCTGGCCCCGAAACCCTCACTTAAAACACTATAGAAATTTACACTGTAAGCAAGAATTTTATTTCAGCAACAAATCTCCATTCATCACATTAATGCTGTAAATTGAATTTTTTTGATTTTGCAGTTTCATTTGTATCTAATATAGGTTGTCCGCCAAAAATGTATGCACACACTTTGAATAATTATAAAGGCAGTGTTTATTAAAATACATTTCACTTTCAAAATTGAGCTATCAGCTGTTAAAGTGTATATACATTTTTGGGAAGAGACCCTGTAGGTAACACACTGAAAAAATTTAGAGTTGTATAAAAATATAAGGTGTTTATATATTGAAGTAGCGTTAAAATTTAAAAAGCAATTTAGTTAACTGCTACGTCACTGACAAGGCCTTTCTAGATGTGACTGATTTGCTACTTTGAATCTCTCTAATATGTAACCATCATAAAGTCAAACTAAATTCTGCCTTATATCATAATCCCTTTATGTACTACTGTAAACATCTTGGAGAGCCTGTATCACAACTTATCATTATTACCCCTATAATACCTAAATAGTGGGTTGAATAACACTTGAGTACAAGAAATGTCACATGATTTTCTGAGGGTTGGTTGCAGAGCACTCCCTGCAAACAGCCATAAATAACTACACGAAGTCTGACGGACATATTCTCAATATGACACAAAGCTGAAAAGCCTGTGCTCTATTAGCAGCTTTACCCACCGATGACTCAATGTGTATGTTAATCTTGGTCCTCTGCTGAGCCTCCTTCTGCTAATAGGGAAGAAAGATATTGGCGACATCAGGCAAAAGAAGGTGCTATACAGGGTACAGGCACAATATGCTAATTATGCCTTTTGACCCTCCTATTTAAGCCTAAAGGTATTCTAATATAAAAGGACTTTTACTCTATAACTGCTTAAAAAAATAAGCAAATGAAACTCCAAACAAGAGGCCTTTTAGAAATGCAAAGGGAATTTCTTTTTTTTTTTAATATATCTTATTAATTTTTTATAGAGAGGAAGGGAGAGGGATAGAGAGTTAGAAACATCGATGAGAGAGAAACATCGATCAGTTGCCTCCTGTACACCCCCTACTGGGGATGTGCTTGCAACCAAGGCACATGCCCTCGACCGGAATCGAACCTGGGACTCTTCAGTCCGCAGGCCGACGCTCTGAGCCAAGCCAGTTAGGGTGGGAATTTCTTTTTTAAAGAACCATTTTTCATCCTTTGCCCAAGGTAAACCAGCCCTATAAAACAAATTATAATTCTTTCTCTCTTGACAATGTCATCTCTACTCCAAAGACAAATCTGATTTCTAATATTTAGGTCCTCTAAGCGTTTTTACAGATTCCAGCTCATTACTGATTAACCACTGAGTTCTGTAAGCTTTACCCCTAAATATATGTGACATCCTTTTTTAAAAAAAATCATCATCTTTACTCATATAGACCAGAGGATCTCAGTGTGGTCCCAGAATCAGCAGCATTAGCATTACTCTGGGAACTTGCTTAACGTTGAAATTATTAGGCCCTATCCTATATTCTATGCTTTAACCAAGCCCTCCAGTTGATCCTAAAGTTTAAGTTAGCTCTAACCTAAACTGTCTGAAATTGTCTTCTAACTGGTTTCCATACCCAGTCTACTGACTCTAGATATGTATTTTAATATATACTCTATGCATCCACAGATTTCATCAGTGGTTTTCCATTTACTGGAGTAGTGATTGTTTTAAAAAATATGGGTCTGTTGACCTATTACAGATGATAGTGAAGGCAATCCAGTAGGTCAAGACCAGTATTGAATATTTGAAAGTAAAATTAGAAGAAAACACAATATATCAGAAATCATCCCATACAGAATTATTTTGTTAAACTTTGCTTCAACTGTGTATGTGTGTGTTTATGCGCACATACACACGTATGTTTCCTATTACAGTTGATAACTGAAAAGGTTTGAAAGACATTTGCCTAGAGCAGTGCTTCTCCTACTTTATTCACTCTCACCCAGGGATCTCGTTATAATGCTGGTCAGGGAAGGTTCCTGAGGCTCTGCATTTCTAGCAGGTTTCCATGTGATGGCCAGATAGTCTTGGACCTCACTTCTAGTACCAAGAGCTATTCAAATGAGAAATCTTAGAATACTGCTAAACTTGCTACTTCAGCTTCCAGAATTCATGGCATAGTAAGTTTTATTGAACCTGAGATATGGCAGATTTATAATATGCTAGAACATTTTACTAAATGTTCAGAGAATTGGGATAGTGGTGTTCTAGGTGTTCTGATGGGATAACATAAAAATTTTTGCTTTAACTATGGTTGTTAGCAGTCTTTAAAAATGAATTTCCTATTTCCTGGAAACTTAGGAAATGAATAAAATGAGTTAAAATTAGTTTTCTTTGATGAGTAATAATTTCGAATTGCCTCAGGATAATCTAACATTATCTCAGGATGGTAGCTACAGGAACTCTATAGGATAATATAAATGTGTATGTAGAAGATGTAGAAAAAAATGGGCTCAATTTAATAAGCACTGGCCTCAGATTATACTCTGGATATTTAAATGTTTAACCAAGATCCTGAAATGAACTGCAACTGGGGAGAGGGGATGTCTTTTTTTAATCAAAGTTGAAGGGGGGGAAATTATCCAGTTCCAATTAATCAGGACCAACCAAAAATGTCAATCATGCTATAATTCATTCACAGAGCAACTAACTTACTAGATGCTTGCTCTGTGCCAGCTATAGACCTACGAGCTGGGGACACAGAAATGGGAAGACAAAGTACCTTCTGGAGAGGTACTTTGTCTAAAGGATTCTGTATATTTCAATGTCTCTGCAGCTGATTGGATGAGGATTTCTGCTGGGTCTTTCCTATTGATTTCTAGATAAGGGCAGAAACAAGACTTTCATTTTTTCTTTTAATTTTCCATAGCACCTGGCACAGTGCTCTGCAGGCCAAGTACAATAGTTGATAAATGTTAATGACTACTCAACTCTTTCATTCACCAAATTAGTAAGTGTACTTGAAGAGAATATGAAATGCAGCTGACTAATGGCCCAATCTGTGCCATTTTTGTTATCTAAGAGATTTGGTCAAAATGAAACATTCATCTGTGCATTATAATAACCAGCTATGTCACCCTGAGCTTTATAAAAATGCAGAGTTCACTGAGGATTGACTATTCTTGACTACCCACCTCCCTTCATTTAGGCAGCCACATGGGAGAAATGAGAAACCTAAACAGATTTCTTTCCCTCCCTCCCCTCACAAAAATAAAATTTCCCCAGATCCTCTGGTAACCTGTACAGATATTAAACCATCTTTACCATCACACACAAAAAAAGTGAACTTTGGGTGATGAACCTCCAGTCCTCAGCTCAGCTTCAGGTCTGTTCTTCTATTGAAAATACCTGCTTTTGTTTCATGGTTATCGGATGTAACAGGGCCTTCAATCTTAAATATCATTTACATCCATTAAAGCTTTTCTTTCTTTTCAGTTTAAATCATCCACAGTGATCACACAAAAAAATAAATTTCCCTTTTAATGAAAAAGGGAAACTGCAAAATGAATTATGCAGTTATTTAATTTAGGAACTCGAAAGTAAGACAAAACATGGGTATTTAGGGAGAAATGCAAAGATTAAATTAATAGTCAATAATACGAGAAATCTAGATCACTTAATGATACTGCTAGTAGTTATCTAAAATGGATATGTGCTCAGGAAAGGGCATATTCTTCGTTTTATTATCTGGCAAAAGTTACAAGAAAGAGTTGGGGCATATTTTACAACATGGACCCATGTGAGGAGAACAGAAAAGCCCATACAGAATAAATGGGAATACAGACTAATAAATAATTTAGCATCGTTTTATGGAGACTCCAAAGCCAATAATAAATAAGTACTTAAGTACATCAAAGGGATAAAGTGAGCTAATGCACAGATGTAACTGTTTAAGGATTAATGGATAACTAGTTCACTTTAGGATATAGAGGGAACAGGATGGTGAGACAAGAAAGTCACTAATTCTTAAGGAATGGGATCTAGAGGAATTTGGGAGCAAACTCTGGGAAGGGAAACTGGCCAGTGAATGTAAACCTAGACAGAATGGAGAGGACAGCTGGCCTTTCCCACCTACACAGGCTCCACTGTTACCTCTTTCTCTGTCTTTTGTATCTCTCTCCATCTCTGACCGCATATTCCTCTCGTTTCACATGTCTTTTCCTCAACTGGACAGAACCTAAGCGTGAATCATTCTTTGTACTGTGTTTTATATGTATTTGTAATATTTACTATCTTGTATAGATTTTTGTAATAGTTCTTGTATTTTGATAAAGTGAAATCCTCTTTGCTATAAATTTTAAAGTCGAGCGAGCTAAGTTATTTAGACATCTACTTTTCTCATGACATTTATCTCCCACCCTTTTTAAAAACTTGAGTGGCCTTCCAATTTCTTTCTCTTTGAGGCAATGGCCCATATAAAAAAGGCTCATCATCTCAGCTTATGTCTAATAAATTCTCTCACATTGAGGTTTATGTCCTTTTTTTCCCCCCCCTTATCCAATTTTATCCCTTTATAAAAAGGCTAATTTCAGTTTCTATATAAATCCATACCTAAAATCTACTATTAATTCACCATGTAACTTTCTGTTTAGGATAACTAGTCTTAGCTCCTTGTTTACCTGTTAGGAGGCAGTATAATATACTGGCTGAGAGTACAGGCTCAAAATTCACAGACCTAATTTTAGTCCTCTGCCACTTACTACTTGTGTGACCCTGGGCAAGCTGCTTGACCTTACCAAGCCTCAACTTTCTTAGCTGCAAAACAGGCACAATAATTGTACCCACCTCACAGGGTTACTACAATATTAAATAAGTTTAAAGTTCTCAGCACATTGCTTGGCATACAGTGCTCAAAAACTGCGAACCATTCTAATTTTTCAATAGGCCTTTAACCCAAGCTTTACAAATAAGGCTTTCTTCTTAACCCCTATACTTTTCAAGTCCTGCTTATGTCAAAATATTGGACCGCACAGTTTCTGACTACATGCTATAACTTCTATTTTAACCCACTCTCAAGTTTTCCTTTATGTACCACTCAAGGTGATGTCCTGTTTTCAGAATGTCTTTCTTCTTGGAGCAGTAGGATATAATCTGCTTCTTAACTTCTCAATATCCTTTGAGATAAAAGGTAGATTATCATTGTCTCTATCTCAACAGATTAATTAATAGGGTCTAGAAGCTTAATGGACTAAAAAGAGGCAAAATGGTCAGTGAGAAGGACTAAAATGGGAAATTACCATTCATGATACTTTATTAATATTCTGATCAGCTAACCTTGCTGGGTTTGCCTGAATTTACTAACTTGTTTTATTTGTTAGATACATATTTAACACTGTGCTAGAATGTAAAAGGTTAAAAAAAAGATCTGGTCCCTGACTTGAGGAACTTCTAGAAAACAATAAAATTAATGGTTACTATGCAGTAAGGGTCTTTACTAGAGACGTTAACAGAGTTGAAACGGGAGCAAGCACAGTGGGCAGATATCCAAATCAGATAGCATTCCAATTTTTTATCATAATAATGGGTGAAAAGGAACTCTGAGTCTAAAAAGAACACTTAATTCCTACCTTCACTTTTTTGCCGCTTGTGGTATAAAGGGAGACATATTAATTTTTTAATCTACAAGGAGGAAGTGACAAAGTACAATGGAAGAACAACCAACACTGTGGATTTTAAGCATCTCCCTCTACCAACCAGTTCCTCAACTCTCCCTGTTTCATGTTTTTAAAACTTGGGTAAGTAACTTTACATTCTGGACTTACTTTTTGCTTTGTCTATCAAGCAAGTTAATATACTCTATATTCTATGATAAGTCTGGAAAAGATCACTGATCAAGGTCCCTCGTATTGAACTCTACCAATTGGATATTTTCTGATCCAGAAAGGCAGGCAGGGAATCTTCCCAAGGAAGGGGTTAGGAGTAGGAAGTAGGGTCTAGGGAACAAGGGACAGTGAAGGAGGCCGAAGCCAGTTCTCACCGAAAGGATCTTATCACCCTCCTGGAGCCGCCCATCCAGGGCCGCAGCCCCATTCTCTTTGATGCGGCTGACGTAGATGCCACTGTCGTTGGAGACATACTGCTGATCTGTCCCACCGACGATGTTGAAGCCCAGCCCTGAGAAAATCATGGAGGAGTTGTGAAGGAGATGGGGTGAAAGAAAAAGAAAGGGATTAGAGAAGAAGAAGGTAAAGCGCGAGGAAAGGCCTAGCAGAGAGGGGAGGCCGGGGCGTCGGACTGATGTGGCTGGTGAATATTCAGGGGCAAGGCCAGTGAATACATCACCAAGAGTGCTCAAGCGCATCTAGACCTGCCCGCTCAGATCAGGTAGAACCAAAAATACAAACATAGTGGCCAACATGGTTTGTTGGATATAAAAAGAAAGACCTACGTTAACTCAGTGAAAGAATAATGGTGATTCTTATAAGATGTGCTTCTGTTCACATTTGATTCTGATTCTGTTGATGGCACTCAGTGGACCCAATTCTTGACTTTCCTTTTATTAATGTAACAGGGTTAGCTGTGTCCATGAGAAGCAGCTATGCTTTTAACTAATTAGCAAATAAACCATTCTTAATTTAGTAGAAGGGAGATTACTAACCAAACTTTACTTTCCATACTTCTCCCAACCTTTGGGAGAATTTGTGTATGGTGGTATTTTGGAAGAAATGGTCTTGGTAGTCTTATTTATTTTTTCTATTTTGAGTTGAGGGGGCAGTAGTGTAAGTGTCGGAAGGAAACCTGGGAAATAGAAAGGTAACTGATGCTTCATGATAAAACTAAATCGCCAAATTCACTCTTCTTTCCTTTTCTACCTCAAGTGCAAACAACCATGTACTTGGGTACAGTGATTGCTTAGTTTTATTTGCAGTAGAAGACTGACTGAATGATTAGCAATTCCCCATTTCTGCTTCTCCCCCGCCCCAGGTAACCATCATTCTTTCTATTCTTCGCTTCTAGGAGTGAATATTTTAAATGGACATAAAATTTCAGTTACACAAGATTAAGTTCTAGAAATCTGATGTAAAACATTGTGCAGATAACAATAGTGTATTGTACACTTAGAAATCTGTTAAGGGCCCTAGCCGGTTTGGCTCAGTGGATAAAGTGTTGGCCTGAAGACCAAAGGGTTCCAGGTTCGATTCCAGTCAAGGGTACATACCTCAGTTGCAGACTTCTCCCTGGCCTGGGCCCTGGTCAGGGTGCGTGCAGGAGGCAACCAATCTATGTGTTTCTCTCACATCGATATTTCTCTCTGTCTTTCCCTCTCTCTTCCACTTTCTCTAAAAAAAATCAATGGAAAAATATCCTTGGGTGAGGATAAGTAAATAAATAAAAACTGTAGTGTTGATTACATAACTCAATCATAATTTTTTAAAAATATATTTTTATTGATTTCAGAGAGGCAAGGAGAGGGAGAGAGAGATAGAAACATCAATGATGAGAGGGAGTCACCGACTGGCTGCCTCCTGCACGCCCCCGACTGGGGATTGAGCCTGCAACCTGGGCATGTGCCCTTGACTGGAATTGAACCCGAGACCCTTCAGTCCGCAGGCTGACGCTCTATCCATGGAGCCAACCCGGCCAGGGCTCGTAATTTATTTTTTTAAAATCTGTTAAGAGAGTAGATATCATTTAAATGTTTTTAACACAAATAAAACAAAATAAACCTGACTACCAAAGTACTATTTCCATGTACCAACCATTAAATTGTGGGAAGGATTTCAGTTTATTAAAACCATTGTTATAAAGGGATTTTATCTATGCAATAAGAAGAAAAGGAACTTCTCTAGGGTTTTCTTTATGTCAAGTACTGTAGAAGTGAAAACACAGTGCAAAGAGAAAGGAGATAGTTTAGAAACAATTAAAAAAATCAAAAATCTGGTAGTACAATTGGCAGGAATAGCTATAATTACTAGCCTACTTACTGGTTTCAATAGAAAGCAGATACTTAAAGAGACATATGTGGGCTTTCTGAAAGTTCTCCTCACTGGTGGGATGAGAACTTACATGTAAAGCTCATAATATTAATATAAGCACTAGAAAATTAATCTGTGATTTAAGAAAATGCATGGCTGAAGAGAGAAGCAGCAGGAAATATTTCACTTAAATAGCCTAAGTTGTGCACAGAATATCTGCAGCTAGAGAATGAAAAGAAGGACTTAAGATACATGATAGAACTTCTGGAAAATGACTATTTCAACTTCCTTGAAGGGTAGGGTATAAAAAATTTAAATTTACTAAGTGATTTCTCTTAGAACACTCTTAATTTGTGTTACCGTGGGTGGCAGGTATTGGAAAGGGGCTGGTGGAGCTCTTTGAGATAAGATGGAAAGGTAGGTGGAGCCTACCTTATGGAAGGCTTTGAAATGACTTCAAAACTGTGACAGGTTTACCCTAGCTGGCTCAGGCCTCGGCCTGATAGAGCCGTGGCCTGCGGACTGGCAGGTTAAGTTCTGGTGAAGGGCACATGCCCAGATTGCGGTCTCAATCCCCAGTAAGGGGGCGTGCAGGAAGCAGCCAATCACTGATGTTTCTATTTCTCTCCCTTCCTCTCTGAAATTAATATAAATATTTTTTAAAAAACAACTGTGACAGGTTTGAGCAAGGTGGCTCAGGCCAATTGGCCTCTCTCAATACTGGAACAAACTATTTGGAGAAAAATCTCTCAATGAAATCCAACATCCTAATCAAACACTACGACAGCTGCCACTAGAAATCTTGGGTAGAAAGCAGGTTTTAAGCAGATGAATGCAATACAGTAGTAAGAAAGAGGAGGGGCCCTGGCTGGTTTTCTCACTGGTTAGAGCGTTAGCCTGCACACTAAAGGGTTGAGGGTTCAATTCCCAGTCAAGGGCACATAGCTTGGTTGCAGGCTCAATCCCTGGCTGGGAAAGGGTACATGTGGGAGGCAACCAATCAATGTGTCTCTCTCACATTGATGTTTCCCTCTCTCCGCCCCATCTCCTTTCCAGTCCATCTAAAAGCAATGGAAAAATATCCTCGGATGAGAATTAAAAACAAGGAAAGAAAGAGGAGGAACTTTGCTACTGGTTATTTAAACCTACAGAACAGTGTCTAAAAAAGAAGAATGGAAGAAATCTTACTGAGATTTCCTAAAAATAAACCAGTGCAGTCTATTCCCTCCAGAAATCCCATCATACAGGCATGTTTATAACCTATTGCTGCTTCAGTTGTAAATGAACCACACTACTTACTATGAAAACTCCTGGACTGATGATGTGAAATCCCTTTCTTCAGCCAGAACATTTACAGAACTGAACTTGTGACCAGGTCAGAAGACCAGGGTCACAAGTTATAATTCAAAGCACTACTGTATTAAACAGAAGTCACCAAAGTACTGAGCAGCAGCAACATTACCAATTCAAACCTGGTCCATTAAAAATCTACATAATCCCCAGTTCACGTGTCCATTAAAAATTACTGGTGATTGGCCCTGGCTGGGTAGCTCAATTGGTTAGAGCATCATCCCAATAAGCCAAGGTTGTGGGTTCGATCTCCAGTCAAGGCGAGCACATACAAGAATCAACCAATGAATGCATAAGTGGAACAACAAATCACTGTTTTTTTCTTCTCCCTCTCTCTAAGAAATACATAATAATAAATCAATAAGTAAATAAAAAATTACTGTTTGACCATGTGTCAGGCACTGTGTTATGTTCTGAGAAAGACATAAAGCTAAACTAGACAGTTCCTGCTTTAACCATAAACAGAAATTTACTCCATTTCCTATCCCTTTTAGATTTTGAAAAAGCGAATTAAAATCAGACCAGGTCACAAATTAACCCCATAACTTAACAGATAAGTGGACTAAAAAAAGTCATTGCATCTCTGATCCACAGCTTTCTTTTCTGTAACATAAGGATTATAATTGTTACCCTCTCTAACTCAAAAGGTAGTTGTTAGGATCCAATTATCTTAACAAATCTGAAAAAAAAAAAAAAAAGCCTTATAAACTAGAATTGCACTAAGAGTAGTTGTTAATGAACTAGTAGTACCTGCATACAGCCCCAAACCAGACAGTTTGATGGAGAAAGGATGAATAACTATACAGTACAAATGTGAATAAACCTGAAATATAGAAAAACAGAGTGATTAAAAAGTCCATCCAGCCCGCTGGTGTGGCTTGGTGATTGAGTGTCGACCTATGAACCAGGAGGTCACTGGTTCAATTCCTAGTTAGGGTGCATGCCCAGGTTACAGGTTCAATCTCCAGTAGGAGACATGCAGGAGGCAGCTGATCAACGCTTCTCTCTCATCATTGATGTTTCCATTTCTCCTGCTCCCTTCCTCTCTGAAATTAATAAAAAGTATATTTCTAAAAAGTCCATCCATCCATTAATAGGACAAGGCTGGACGAACTCAAACTTTAAGTATGTCTATAACCTGTAACCCAGACATTTCTCTTCATGAGTAGTATCTACAAAGAGTGGTATTTAAAATAAGCAATAATCAGTCCAGCACATGCACCAACCAACTGCAAGAGATGTCAGCTGGAAACAAAAAGGGAAAGACCATCCCAGTACATATCTGTTGATTATCAGCTGTGTTTTAAAACAATCTGCCATAAACAGGGTGGACCACATTTCCTGTTGGTTTAGGAGTCTGGATATACTCCTGTAATCAAAATATTCCCCTTCAATTTCAAAAGCATCTCAGTTTGGACCAATGTGATCATTCTATCTATAGGCTGATGTAAGAATATCTTAATTGCAGCATGTTTTGTGATAGTGTGGACTGATAGTAATTTAGGTGTCTATCCTTTGGGGAATCAGTAATAAAATATAGTTAAAAGTTAGAAGCACTAAACAAGCCTATATAATAAAAGGGTAATATGCAAATTGACCGAATGGCGGAACGACCAGTCGCTATGACATGCACTGACCACCAAGGGGCAGATGCTCAACAAAGGAGCTGTCCCCTGGTGGTCAGTGCACTCCTACAGGGGGAGCGCTGCTCAGCCACAAGCGGGGCTGATGGCTGGCCTGGCGAGCGCAGAGGCTGTGGTGGGAGTCTCTCCTGCCTCCGCCTCTGCAGCAGCCTAAGGCCCGTCAGTCAGACATTCCTCGAGGGCTCCTGGACTGCTAAAGGGCACA